ATTATTATATATTTTCTTAATTATAGTTAGTTTTTCCTGGAGGAAATGCTGGATCATTTGAAAGTTTGAGTAAATATTCTGTACATTCCATATTGTTAAACCTCAATAGGCTGTCAGTTGAATTTTGGGACACCAAGTCTCAAGGAAAAAAATAAAAAAAACGCTGCTTATTCCTATTCCTGTAATCCCTTTTCTCCAGAGCCATGTTAAATTCCAATTTCCAGCCTTGCACAGGTGAGGGGGAGATTCCAACCACTTGCAGGAGATTTATAAAAAATGTTCCAAAACTCAACTTTCGGCCAAGCAGAGCTTTGGCAAAGCGCAGTTCTTTGAGGAAAGGGAAAACTGGCAGAAATTCCATCTCATTCACGGGTTTTTCAACAAAAATAATTCTTCTTCCACGTGGGGAAGATCCATCCATGGACGATGAGGGGTTCTGAATTTTCACCTCAGCCGTGACAGGAAGAATGCACTTTTCATTCCGTGTGTTCAGCTCCCCAATCCTTCACGCCGGCGCCGCTTTATCGTGGTGATCAGGGATTATTTTCATTCTGAAATCATCGCCGGGTGTTTGCTGCAGACACCCTCCCCTGAGCCAAACCACGTCGTGCTCTGCTGCTGCAAGATCTCAGATAAAGGACTCGGTAATTTCGTGTCATTAAGGCCAAATTCTCGTTCCAAGTGGGGTTCTTGGAGGAAACTCTGGTGGTTCAAGATCCGGTGGATGAGTTCACTTCGATTCTGTCATTGTTGCTCCTTGCAGCTGTCTGTCAGCGTGATGTAAAATCCATTTTCCTGGGGTGTGTTGTGCTAATAATAACCTCCCGTGAGGCAAAAAGTGAAAAAACACAGGCTCAACTCAGCAGGGAAAAAAAAAAAATATAGAACTTCCATAGCAAAGAGTTTTAAATTTGCAGATCTGCAGGAATTTCTGGGGTGCTTTAATCTGTCAGAATACTGATTTTTCCCCACCTTTGCATTTTAAATGTGTCCGTTTGTTTCCTAATGGGGTTTTGGAAGATTTATCCTGTCCACTTCTTCACTGGCTGGGTTTTGGAGGAATGGTCTCCAGAGGAAAATATGGGAATGGGGCAGGCAGGGAGCTCTTTTTGCTCTTTTAGCCAAGCTGGATTTCCTTGGTGGCATTTGGGATTTGTGGCAGGGCCACGTCAGATGTTGGGTATTGTAAATGCAGGTGACCCCAGTGGGAAGAAATGACCATGTTGGACTCAATTCAGAAGGCTGAATGATTTCTTTATTGTAACTATGCTAAAATACATTAATATAATATATAAAAGGAGGATAATAAAAATACATACTATTTTTTCTGATTTTAACCCAACTGGTGCCCCTCTCTGAGCCCAGCCCCAGGTGGGTTGGATTGGATTGGATTGGATTGGCCACCAGGCTCAAACAATCCTCACCAGAATCCACCCAAGCATCACCCCAGGGAAAAAATTCTCCAAACACATTCCACATGGGAAAAACAAGGAGCAGAAATAGAAATTGTTTTCTCTTTCATTTCTCTCTGTGCACCTCCATGAAAAATCCTGAGAGGGACAGAAATGTGCTTGCCACAGTTGGGTTTTACCTTTCCAGCCCCAAACAGAAAATCCCTTTTTGCCTGTGGAACTCTCACGTCCCCAGTTGCAGTTTACCAGGAGCGGTTGCAATTATCTAACAGCACCTGAAAATTGCTTTACTAAATGACAGCAGGAAGTTCCATTTGCATTCCATATCTGCTGTTCAATCTGCTAATCCTCCGCTGAGCCTGCCAGGAAAAACAATGTCAGCAGGCTGGAATTTTATTAAAATCAGAAAGCAGGGATGCCGCTTCCCGCTTTTCCATCACACCCTGCGAGGTTCCAACCTTCTGGAATATTTTCGTCGCTTCAGCCTTTGTGTTCCTGGTTGTTTTCTTGGAATGGGTTTTATTCACAGGGTTTTTTTCTAGCACTCAGCCCTTCCCTTTTGGGTTGTCTTCCCTCCCCCAGGAAAGCTGGAGCTCCCTGTTTGCTCCTGTTTATATAAGTTAATCTTCCATGTTGTGACATTTCCCCCCCCCGCCTCATTAACGAGAGCTCCTAATTGGGTTTAATGAAACATTTACTCAGCCTGCTGGATAATATTATCTGCCAGCTCGACAGAGATAAGGCACTGTGAAGAAAACAAGCTTTTGAAAGCTCGTGGGTGAGATATGAAAGCCATTTTTTGGGGCCAATATTTTCTTATTTGATGGGATTTGTGGTGCAGCTGTGTAACCAAGCCATGGCAAACAACATCCATTATTTATTGGCCTGCCTGGCAAACAAGGGCACCTTTGACTACATCAGGTTGGGAGGTCGGTTTGCTGAGCTTTCCCCCCAGCCAGAGAGTCACTTTTTATTTTTTTTCTTCTTTTTTTTTTGTGTTTATATTCCCTCAAATTTTCCATTTGGCACGAGGGAAAGCAGGGGGGAGCTGGGTCTGGGGCAGACCGGCACGAGTGGAATTGTGCCTTTTCTTTTTTTTATTTCTGCCCAGGTGCTTCAGATCCAGTTACAGCCCCTAAAGGCAGAGTTCCCTTCAGCCAGCAGCAAATACAGGACAAGGAGAGAAGTCTTGGAAAGTGTTGGGATCATTCAATTCCCTCCCTTCCTGCAGAGGAAAATGGAAATCATTTAAAAATGCTTGAAATGCGCTGCAGTTCTGTAAAATTCTTGATCAGAACTGGGTTGCTCGAGATATTCCAAGGCCATAGTAAGGATATTCCAAGGATTTAAGCATCCCAGGCCAGGTGGGAAGGGTTTGGAGCACCATGAAGGTGTGGAAGTGGAACTGGATGAGCTTTAAATTCCCTTCCACCCAAAGCATCCTGGAATTCCAGGATAAACACATTTATTTGCAAGGGATCCAGGAAGGAGAGTGAGGATTTGAGGCACAATAAAGACTTATCTCATTGCCAGCATCCCTCAGTAATTTGTAAGGTTAGGAGCCCTCTTGGAGTCAGGAAATCTGGATCACATCTGGTGAGGTGTTTGGGTCAGGGATGTGTGGCTCTGGAAGTTGGAGCCTTGGAATAACTTGGAATTCCAGGAGTTGGATCAGCTCCACACACTCGGGGGGACCGGTTTGTTCATCAGCCTCTCCGTGGTTTGTCCTCACTCCCTCAGCTTCCCTTGCTGCTGATCTGTGCTTCTTCAATTTTGGCCATTCCAGAATGTAAAGAAATAGTGAAAAATTCTTTATGGCCATCTGTCTCAATTTTATATAATATATAATAAAATATATTAACATGCAAGCATTTTTTAAAATGTTTTTATTTAAATATTAAGTATTAATATTGAATTGAATGGTAATATTTTACTATAAAATGATTTTAAAATAATTTAAATATTTTATAGTATATCAGTATTAATTACCTATTATTACTGTATTATATTTTGGGCAGAATCCTGGGGAAAGTTGGGATAGCTCTGAAATGGGAATGTTCATGGTGTGGTCCCATCCAGCTCATCCCCTCAGTAGTGGTTTTCTGGGAAGAAACTCATCCTCAGGGATGGACTGAGCCTCATTCCTTCACTTTTTGTCTTTTATTTGTCTTTCCTGGCAGTGGAATATCACAGGAAGGAGGGAATTTCAATTTCTGCAGTGCCACATCGTGTAGTTCAAGTGCTCCTTTGGGTATTTCGTTATAAAAGCCTAATTTTTATCTTAATTTAATGCAAATTAGTTTCTTGAAAACAGAATTTTGGTGACTTGTTGCTGCTTGTTCTCCACAGATTCTTCTGCCTAATCCTTCTGATCCTGGGCTGCAGCCAGAAGAAATCTGGACCATCCTATGGAAAACAGTGTCGGAAGTTCACAGGGAGCAGAGGTAGGCTGTGATTTTGGAATTTCTCCTGGAACACATCCATAAAGCCAAGGTTTAATCGGCAGCTCTCAAGCAGCATGGCTAAATTCACAATAAAATTCACAATTCCTAAAATTCTGTTGTTTGCTTGGTTGGCCAAACAGTCTTCACTGGAAAGGGAAAAACCTGAACAATTCCAAAAAAAAACGCAGGGAAAAAGGGGAAATTCCTGGAATTCTCTGCTGAGCAGCATTTCCAGCCTGGCCAGGGTGTGCCTGGAAATGTGGAGGGAATGCCTCTGGCTCTGGTTGGGCAGGAGCCTCCACTCCAGCTTGTTTGTCCTGCTGGGAATTTGCATGGGAGGAGTGAGGTTGTGATTTGTAATATCTGAACCAGGCTCCAGGGTCGCTGGAATTCGCCCCAATTCCCTGTGTTTGTCTGGAGGTGTGGAAATCTAAATATGACTTAAAATCTAAATAGATTTAAATAGGATATACGAACCTGAGCAAAATGCTCAGTTCTTCTCTCTGAAGCCTTGGCAGGGCACCCCGGGAGCCCCAAATAAATGGATTTTTGGGTGATTGCACCTCATCCCCGTGAACTTTCCACCCTGCCCTTCTCCAAAACGTCCGTGCCATCTTCCTTAGCATTCCCTTGGGATGCACTTAAAAAGAAATAAATTGAATTTACACTTAAAAGTTTTAATGCTGTGACAGCACAAAGTGCACTTAAAATCCAGATGATGAAATTAAATTTATTTATCTCAGGTAAGGGGTTGGTTGTTGGTGTTAAAATTGAGATTTCTCTGCGTTTGGCGCTGTTTATTCCACACTGTTTCAAGCTGGATCTGAGGGACCTCAATCCTGCTGATTTTTAGGGATTCTTTCGAGGAATTTTTAAGGCTCAGGAGGACAAGTAGGTGAGAGCACTAAGGTGAACTTGAGTTTATTCTGTGAGTTCCAGCCCTCTGTGAGGAGTTCTGGCCAGCAGAAGGCACCACCAGCTCAGCTTTGCGCCGCTCGCCGGCATTCCCGGCTGGATCGCCGCTCTTCCAGCAGGATTCCGCGGGGAATTCATCCCCCCACAGCTCAGATCCTCGCCATTCCCACTCAGGAACGCGTTCCCTTGCTTTTCCAGGCCTGAGGGCTCGGGATTTCCCCGGGCAGCGATGCCCGCGATGGGAGCGGCGCGGCGCGCGCTGGCCGGAGCCGTTCTCCCGGTCCTCGTCCTCTTGGGAAGTTGGGTTTCGGCTGAGAACATCAACTTCTACAACATCAGGCCTCCACCAGACCGTAAGTAGCTTTTTCTGATGGAATTCTGGCTTTTTCTGATGGAATTCTGGCCTTTTCTGATGGAATTCTGGCCTTTACTCTATGAAATTCTAGCTTAAAATTGTAAATTATTTGCCCCATCCTTCCAGTCCTTTGGGTTTCGGCTGCTCGTCTCCAAAGAAACGTTAAAATAAATATCCTGCTCCTCAATCCACAGCACTTTATCCTTGATTGTTAAAATTGCAATTATTAATATCCTTAATATTTAAAATTGTAATTTTTTGCCCCATCCTTCCAGTCCTTTGGGTTTCGGCTGCTCGTCTCCAAAGAAACTTTAAAATAAATATCCTGCTCCTCAACCCACAGCACTTTATCCTTAGTATTTGACAGGTTGACTAAATGAAAATAAATCAAATCATTGCCAGATTAAAGAGTGCACAAGGATTTTGGCGTTTTAAGGGCTTTCTTTGTATTATTTCTGTCTCCCTGCAGAGGAAATTTGGCAGCGGTTTCCTTGTAAATAATCCAGAACAGGTGGTTTTGGTCTTTTATCTTGTTGGGGGTTTTGTAAGGGGAGGAATAGGTGTTGCTGCATGCAATTAATTCACTCAGAAGGTAATTAAAAACCTTGTGGGACCTGTGAAGCCTGTTGGCACTAATGGCATCATGTATTTTTATTTATTTATTTTTTGCCTCTTATCTGACATCAGCAGTGTTCCATGCCTTCATTTGCATTATCTGCATCGTTAAACCAGCCAGGAAATAATAGCTGGAAATAATACCTGCCCTTAATGAACCCTGCACCTTCCAACAATTCATTGAAATAATGGAAATAAGATTTTAAAAAGACCTTTTGTTTAAAGGTCTCCTTCCGAGTGGGAGCTCAAGCTGCTTTGGAAATGCAGTTTTTCCATCAAAGGAAAATGTAGATTTATGTTTACTCCATGAGGAGAGAGATCAACTCTTCCCTCTTTCCTGCTTTTCCCACCACTGCCTCAATTTTGGATTATGAGAGTGAAAACATGAGGATATACATTGAGTTCAAGCCTAGAGGGGGAAAAAAAAAGCTTTCTGCAAAACTTGTTCTATTTGTCTAAGAGTGAAAACACGTAAACATATATATATTTTATTTCTGTAAATCCATGCGCGCAAAGCGTCATTTTGAATATTTTCAATTTTTTTCTCAATACTTTCCCGACTGACTGTATTTTCATACCTTTTATTTTTCTTTTAACCCTTTCCAAGCCACGCCATTCCCAAACAGTTTCAAGTGCTTTACCTGCGACAACGCGGTGGACAACTACGACTGCAACCGCTGGGCTGAGGACAGGTGGTGTCCTGAGAGTGAGTAAGGCTGGAGGAGGAGATCCTCGGGAGATTTAAATTTGCTTTTCCTTGGCTCAACCCCCTTGGAGAAGCCTGGCTCCTTCCGTGTGCCAGCACAGTTTTGGTGTTGGTGATGCTGAGTTAAGTGATTTCCTGCTGGCGCGATCATTTTGGCCATTCCAGAGCGTAAAGAAACGGTGAAAAATTATTTCTCTCCATCTCTCCTAGTTTTATTTAGCAAAAAAAAATGCAAGCATTTTAGTTAACGTTACTATTTTAATATTAAATTAAGTATTAATATTGAATTGAATGTCGATATTTTAATATAACATTATTTTAAATAATTTTAATATTTTCTAATCAGTATTATTTCCCTACTATTAATGTATTATTAATATATTAATGATATTATAGCCTACATTATATATATGTTTCCCCGTGTATCTACATAATGATATGCTTTCCAAGAGTTAATTTTAATCTTGTATAAAAAACATGAAGAATTTAATCTTTATTCTCTTCAGAGTGTAAAGCAACAGCAAAAAATTCTTTATCTCCATCTCTCTCTGTTTTATGTAATATATATCAAAAATATTAATATACAGATTTTTTAGTAGTACATCCATATTATTTATCTATATATGTTTCTCTGTGTATATATATAATGATGTGCTTCCCAAGAGTTAATTTTAATCTTGTTTAAAAAACCTGAAGAACTTAATCTTTATTCTCTTCAGAGTGTAAAGCAACAGCGAAAAATTCTTTATCTCCATCTCTCTCAGTTTTATATAATATATAACAAAAAATACTAATATACAAGTATTTTAAATAATGTTAGTATTTTAATATTAAATTAACGATTAATATTGACTTTAATTTTAATATTTTAATATAACATTATTTTAAATAATTTTAATATTTTATAATACATCAGTATTAATTACCTATTATTAATATATTACATTTTATAATACAATACCATATATTAGATGTATGTGTCCCTGTGTATCTATATAATGATGTGCTTCCCAGGAGTTAATTTTAATCTTCTTTAAAGCACCTGAAGAATTTCCTCTGTAGCTTTATTTTCTTCAGGGTTGTAAAGCAACAGTGAAAAATTATTTATATCCATCTCTCTCAGTATCATATAATACATATAAAAATACTAATATACAGGTTTTTAATAATAGATCAATATTAATTACCTATGTTTCTCTGAGTATCTATATAATAATGTGCTTCCCAGGACTTAATTTAAATCTTGTTTAAAACAACCGAAGAATTTCCTGTGTTGATTTATTCCCTTCAGAGTATAAAGCAACAGTGAAAAATTCTTTATCTCCATCTCCCACTTTTATATAACAAAATCAAATTAATATTCCAACAGATTTTTAATGATACACCAATATTAATTACCTATGTTTCTCTCTGTGTGTATATATATATAATGAGGTGCTTCCCAAGAGTTTAATTTAAAGATGTTGTTTAAAAAACCTGAAGAATTTCATCTGTAGCTTTATTCCCTTCGGATACCAGCCCAAAATTTCCTGTTCCTTGTGGGCAGCAGGACCTGCCTGGCTGGGGATCCCACCTGTGCTGGGGAGGATAAAACTCAGAAAAAATGGAAATGTTTCCTCGTTTTTCACCCCGCTGACACTCACGGGAGCGGTGGGAAAGGGGAAGAAGCGAAGCAGAGGAATGAGGAAACAAACCTGAAACCACCCGGGAAGGCGCTGCCAAAAGGAGGAGAGAAATGAAAATAAACGTGTGGATGATGGCGCTAATTAGTGATTTCAATCAAAGCAGCCTTGCTGGAGGTTTGAAGGATTTCGCAGGAATTAATTCCTTGCTAAATGCTGTTGATGAAGTCACAAACAGTTCTGAGGAGCCAATTTCTGGGGATGTTCTGCTGAGCTGAGTGTAGGAAAAATGTGGGAGCTGTGTGTAGGATCAATATTTTGCAAAGTTGCTCCAAGGGATCAATCAGGGAACTCAAACTCCGCTGTTGTTACTGCCTGACCACTCACCTCTTCACGTGAAGAGGATTTCACAATAATAATCTTAACAAAATTGCAAATCCAAAAATGAGAACGATATCTAGGAGACAAAATAAAATCACTGTTATTGATATTTACAATATCACAGGCAGTTCTCAAGCACGCACAACCTTACCAGTATATACAAGCACAGTTTTCTGGTCAGTGACTGGATGGATTTCAAAGTGGCAAATACTTTGTTCAGTGTCGAGAAATACATCTTGAGCATTAATGTTATTGCCTTCACCACTGAACCCCCGTTCCTGAGCAACACAGGATTCTAAGTTTACCTTTTGTGCCCACGCCCTGTGCTCTGAGGGGTAAAGCACTGTTTTATTATCCTTGCTGGAGGTTTGAAGGGCCAGCTGAGATTTCGCAGGAATTAATTCCTTGCTAAATGCTGTTGATGAAGTCATAAACAGTTCTGAGGAGCCAATTTCTGGGGACGTTCTGCTGAGCTGAGTGTAGGAAAAATGTGGGAGCTGTGTGTAGGATCAGCATTTTGCAAAGCTGCTCCAAGGGATCAATCAGGGAACTCAAATTTTGGCAGGTGCTCGCTACTGCCTGGCCGCTCACCTGTTCACGGCACGCGGGGAGAGCACCTCGGTCACCAAGAGATGCGCCACGGGCGAGGAGTGTCACCGCGTGGGCTGCCACCGCCGCGGGGACAGCGGCCACACGGTCCGTGCTGCTCCTGCTCTGCTCCTGCTCTGCTCATACTCTGCTCTAGTTCTGCTCCTGCGCTGCTCCACTTCTGCTCTAGTCCTGCTCCTGCTGTGCTCATACTCTGCTCTAGTTCTGCTCCTGCTCTGCTCCTGCTCTGCTCCTGCTCTGCTCATACTCTGTTCTAGTCCTGCTCCTGCTCTGCTCATACTCTGCTCTAGTTCTGCTCCTGCTCTGCTCATACTCTGCTCCTGCTCCTGCTCTGCTCCTGCTCCGCTTCTGCTCCTGCTCCTGCTCTGCTCCTGCTCCTGTTCCTTCTCTGCTCTAGTTCTGCTCTAGTTCTGCTCCTACTCCTGCTCTGCTCCTGCTCTGCTCTAGTTCTGCTCCTACTTCTGCTCTGCTCGGGCTCCTGCTCTGCTCTAGTTCTGCTCCAGTCCTGCTGTAGTTCTGCTCTAGTTCTGCTCCTACTCCTGCTCCTGCTCCTGCTCTGATCCTGCTCTGCTCCTGCTCTGCTCCTGCTCTACTCCTGCTCTGCTCCTGCTCTGCTCTAGTCCTGCTCTAGTTCTGCTCCTACTCCTGCTCTGCTCCTGCTCTGCTCATATTCTGCTCCTGCTCTGCTCCTGCTCTACTCCTGCTCTGCTCCTGCTCTGCTCTAGTCCTGCTCCATTTCTGCTCCTGCTCTGCCCCTGCTCTGCTCCAGTCCTGCTCTAGTTCTGCTCTAGTTCTGCTCCTACTCCTGCTCTGCTCCTGCTCTGCTCTAGTCCTGCTCCTGCTCTGCTCCAGTCCTGCTCCAGTTCTGCTCCTGCTCTGCTCCGGTTTTGCTCCTGTGCTGCTCCAGTTCTGCTCCTGCTCTGCTCCTGTTCTGCTCTTGTGCTGCTCCAGTTCTGCTCCTGCTCTACTCATGCCCTGCTCCTGCTCTACTCCTGCTCTGCTCTAAGCTGCTCGTGTTTTGCTCGTGTTCTGCTCATGTCCTGCTCCTGCCCTACTCCTGCTCTACTCATACTCTGCTCCTGCTCTGCTCTGCCCTGCTCGTGTTCTGCTTGTGTTCTGCTCACGTCCTGCTCCTGCCCTACTCCTACTCTGCTCATACTATACTCCTGCTCCTGCCCTGCTCCTGCCCT